GGGATGATATTTTTTTTATGCACTTGAAGATTGAGAGTTAATCTAGAGTTTTTTAATTTTTTTTTCTCTCGGCGTTTTCCGGATTTTAGAGATTCCATACCCAAGTAAGTTTTACTCAAGGGAATAAATAAATAGTATACACCCATGGGACTAGCAAACTTTTGGCTTTTATCTTTAAGGAGGACGACGCTTGGGCATATTGTATGCGATTTTCCTTGTCATTAATAAGCGAAATTGCTCATTTTTGTTGAAGTGTTCTGACTAGGCGGCTTGCACGAGCTGGAGAGAATGAGGATTAGGTCGTCCCTTATATTTTATTAATTTATCTTTTTATTATTGTTCTTAGGTCGGGCTCAAATTCTGGCACTCAAAATTATAGAATGATTTTTATGCTATCGCAGGTGCATTGTCTCCATCCTCTCCTTTGGAATAAGGCCAAATCTTGGAGTAACTTTCGTACCTCAAATTTCAGATATATAATTTCAACTTAACCACCAAGCTCAAACAAGTATAAATATTTTTAAAGGCACGCTGCACTATATGTATCTGAAAAAAATTTATGGGCTTGAATAGAGACTATCTAATATTTGAAAGGATAGGTCTTGTATAAGGTGCCCTATCACCTCTAAACTTTGCCGTAAGATGTAGTTCCAGTGTCGGAATTCTTACGATAACTTAAAAATTAATGGTCAACCCTAATTGTTAAATTTAAAATTAGAAAATATTGTAGATCGAGCAGATCTATGAACATGTGAAATCTTGAAAAAGAGTTCCATATGACTTGTTACAAGATACATAGTTTTAGGACATGAAATTCTTATCTTTCTTAATATCCATAAATCTCGAGACCGAGATGAGAGTGGAAGGTGTTTCAACTTCGGAACACTATTTTCTATCATATTTTGAAGTGTGGCTTATTTCTATAGTATAAGATTGCAACTTTATACGAACTTTCATATTTGAATAGGCAAAAGTACATGTCTAACAACTAAGGATTGCATTAGGGTGTTCACACTATAGGGCATTTTATAATTGTACTCAACTAATTTTTGACACTTATATATCTTTGTCTTGTATACGAAGCATTTTTTTAATAAGAGTATTTTTTGTCATTAACAGAGGTATGACATCATAAATATATGATGTGGCGTTCCATGTGGTGATGTCATACCCCTCCTAATAACAAAAAATATTGTTACTAAAAAAATATTGTATTACAAAATAAAGGCATATAAATATCCAAACTTTGTTGAATACAATTATAAAATATTCTATAATGTGAGCACCCCAAGATAACCTAATAACTAATAGCATTATTTTTTAAATAATCATCTAATGATTTTATAGTGCAACCAAAAACTTTAGATAAAACAAAAGCTCCTTAACCAACCCTTAGAAATAGTAGATGCACAGCCTACAAGCTCCCGCAGGAGTACGCAATACAAGCTCTTGAAAATTGGGTTGCTGCAGGTCAACCGAGGACATGGATTGAGGATGTAAATGGCGGGCCCACTCGTGCACGCATGATAATGATGTAAGGCCCACCCATGCCCATTCCCATTCCCCATTGGTTCATCCAATTTCCTGCGCTTTTTAACTTACTTACTTTGTTTCCCCTCGAATTGTCTCTCTTTCTAATAAATGCCACTCTCTTTTACCGACGCCCTCGGGACTATATCACACACTCCCTTGAGCAACTTGTAATAAGTTTTATGGAAAGTTGGAAACAAAGTTAAATCTCATCTTCAATTTTTGTAAGGGAAGTATTTTTGGGCATTGAAAATCCGCATGATAGCTCTAAAATCAATTTTCAAAAGTGATTGTAAATTTTGAATCTTAAGCACTTATTTTTAGGACGAAACAGCCCGTTCAGGCAGCCAACCAACCATTCGGGACCCAATAAAGTCTATCTTTAGCCTCATAGGTAGAAGCTCCATTTCAAATTCAAAAAGGCGCAACAGGAGTTATGCTTATATATCTATCGGGGTTTGCTTACGTTACATTCGCAGGGAGACATGGTTTTAGTTAATTCAGTTTCAACCTGATCTGTGGGTCAAAAGAAGTAAATATTGAAATGAAATTTTCATTCCACGTATTTGTTACAAAGATAATATTTATATAAGGATGCAACCTTATAATGTAGAACCACTTATGCCCTTTAAAAATCCATCAGAAAAGGTAGTTTTAATGTTGAAAAACCATTTGATTGATCATCTCAACATCGAGATGTATGACTATAAAAAATAAAAAGCTTTTAAATATCAGAAATAGTGCATTTTACAACATATTATCTGCACCGTCCATTTTCAAGATTTTCATATGTTTATAGATCTACCTGATTTTAACCATTTTTTAAATTTAAAATTTATAATTACATATAAAAATAGATTTTGAGATAATCCTAATAACATTTTACATCAAAATTATATATCATAATAAAATTTGAAAGGCACACTACCTCTACACGTACGGAGGCGTCCGTATGCCAACTGCACCCTTGTTACAATATATACTATTTTTAAGACTTGAAATTCTAATATTTTTTACAACTACATGATCAAGGCCAAGATGATCGATCTAAAGATTTTCCGATACTAAAACTACAATTTTCGATGAGTTTTAGAAAACGTTTTATTTATTGTGATAGGGCTGCAACCTTATCAAAACAATTTCCGATAAGAAATTATGGGATCCGTCTGTTGAGGGCCCCCTGCAAAGCATAAGGGAAATTTGACTAGTTAAATAGTTGGACAGGGTGCAAGTAAGACACGGACGCGCAGGAGCACATAACCTTTTGGCCTTTTTGGTCCAAATTTATATTCAGTGACCAAAAGTGCCCGTCGATTTTCCACACTGACCCTTCCCGGAAAGTGGGCTCAAGTGTTTGGAAGCGATGGCTCTCGAAGCCACAACTTCATAAATCAAATGCGCCACCCGTGAAAGGTATTCGGAGCTTTATTATCCGGGGAGGTGCTACACGGTTTTTAGGAGCCTCAACTTCCCTCCATGTTAAAAATCATGTTGAAAAGTGGATGTGGCAGCTTCCATGGAAGCTATGAGTTCTACTTTCTTGAGAAGGCACCACTTTGAAAGCCACACCCTCCCAAAGTCAAACACGTTCCAAGGGGAACTTTTCTAGGGGTCTTTGCACACTGGGTAACAATAATGATCAAATGAGTGGGTCTACTGCCATGTCATTATTTTACACTTAATTTTTCATAAATCATAATTAATATATGACATTATTGTCAGCTTATTATTAATAATCTAATTGAAATAAGACAAATGTTTGCTAAGAGGCCCAAGCACAAATAAATTTTAAAAATAAAGCCAAAGCACTATGGAGTCTTAAAAAGATGATGGCGTTTGTAACCTTCTATGAGACTTATCCTTATTTTAAAAATTTTAAGTATTTATTCTATTCAACAATATCCCAAAGTACTTGGGTTCTCTAAGGGTTAAGCATGAATCATAATATTGAACATGAATGTCAAACATTTCACCCTCCATATTGGAAATTACTTGTGAATTGGCCCAGGCGAATAAGTCATATATACATTTTCTTTGGGTAGTTCAATGGTGATAGAATACCCTACCCATGGTAGGAATGACCCCCTAGTGGTGATAGAGATACCCTACCTAGGAATGACTTGCATAGACATTGAGATAGGGAAGCATTTGGTATCGATATTTGAAGATTACTAGTGCTAATTATATATTTTCTATTGGTCAAGTATATATATATATATATATTTATTTTTTTGACAAGAGTAATAAATATTATTAGATAAAAAAAACAGTTACAATTGTATAACAGCTAAAACGAAACACGTGAAATAACTAAAGAGTCGAGAAATGCCCCTTTCATCTCAAACATGAAAAGACAGTTGGGTTTCCTTTCAGCTATTCCTGATTATAGTTAACTTGGTTTCCTAAGGTGAAACCCTAAAAATCTTGAACTTTTGATCCCTTCATTTGAATTTGGTTGGTGCAACAAGGGGTCCAACCCTTAATTTTTTGTATGAAAAAAAATAATGAATTGGACCAAATTTGAATAATATAAATCAATGATTTTTTACTTAAATTGGTATGATAAGACAATATGAAAGTGAAAAGCTTGAAAAATGGAGAATTTTACTTAAATTGATATGATGAGGCAATATGAAAGTGAAAGCTTGAAAAATGGAGAAATACACTGAGATTTCGGATTCCCACCGGTTGTGAATCAAACCGGGCGATGGCCAATTTTTCAAACCCCGATTGGTACCTAAAAGGACTTGAGCCGCTTATTCTTTCTTGTTTATAGATATGCATTTGCTATACTCGGACATCCCCGACATACTTAGTAACAAAAACTAGATAGATTTGTAATTCAACCCAGAAGTTGTAATGCAATGCGGCGAGTCAAGGGATAAAAGCAAGCATCGTACGAAAGAAAAATCGATCATGTATGAATGAGCCACCTAATGTGGAAGGGTAAAGGTAAAGAGAGGTAGCGAGTGATTGAAATACAGTTTTTTTGCCGGATTCAAGTACTTTAGTAGTAGCTCCCAAAATGAGGAGATGCCATGTTTATCCACTCCATCAAATTCAATAAATTTCAATGGACCACAAATGTTGCTAGGGCTGGGAAAAGCTGATCACAATACGGTGTGAGTGTACTATGGTAACAACATTATCAAGTGAGAGAGTAAGGGCTGTCACTTGGTGTGACAGTAAAAAGGCTCGGATGGCCACAAGATCGCATGTTCAAGTATTAAGAGGAACCACTTCGTACATAAACCAAAAGTTAGAACTATTTTCAGCCCACCCCTCTCACGCTTAGGTAGACCAACACCGGGTTAGAGAATATTTTTTTTTTATATTAGGGATATTCTCAAAGGGTATATTTGTAATTTCACTAGCCACCAACTTGCCACTACCCAAATGCAGTTGTGCCCCACAGCGCGCGGGTTCGTTTAACTGGTTGCCCTTTGGTCCCACCCTTTCTCACTCTTCTCTCTCTACTCTCTCTGTCCCCGTCTCTATCTCTCTCACTGGCTTTCTCGCTTCTTTATTTCGGGCTGTGCGATCTCCTCTTTCCATGCCCTTTTTCTATTTCCATTATTTTATTCCATTCTATGACCTCCACCTTTTTTGCCGTTTGCACCTTCTCTCCCCTTTTCGGGAGCTCTTTTCCGGCCCCTTCGCAGTCAAAATAGTCCACTTATTTCTCTCTCTCTAGGGCTTTCTTCTTATGTGTGGTTTTTTCTCTTAATTCAGTAACTTTTGTTCCCAGTGAACAATCCAATCCCACTTGAACAATCCAATCCCAGTTGTTTTGGGGTGTTTATGGGCACGATTTCATCTGGGTTTTGCTTGAATGCTCGATTCTGTTATGGGTTTACTGGTAATGCTTCTTGGGTATCATTTCGTAGTTGGGGGGATCCATTAAACCATGCTCTATGATATTGGTGAAGGTGGGCAGGACCCCCAAGGTGGGGATGGCCTCTGCTGGTTGAGTCTCTCTTTCTTCTTCGTTGTTGCGACATAGGCAAAGAGCTTGAATTTCCTCTTTCTTTCCCTGTTCATACAATACACAGTAAAGTGGTACTGTTATGTGTATTGGAGTGGTGGAGCTCTGGTTTCTGGTTTTTATGATCCCTTTTGAATTGGGTTTTGGGTGTATCACTGAAAAGTGGGCTCCCTGCTTCCTAATCTAAGGAATAAACCATGAGAAACCTTCTCAAGAAGTTTCACAGAACACCCACTCAATCGGACGATTCGGATGTGCCCCTATCTTCTCAGTCCGAGCAGTTGCAGAAGCCACTCTCGGCTCTATCGGGTTGGTTGAGCTCGGTAACTCGCCATAGCCCACCGTCATCTTCGAGAAGTTCTAGGGATTCGACCGATGCTCAAGCTAGTCCATCAAATACAAGGCACAGCCCGGGTTCATCATCGAGGGTTTCAAAGGAATTGGCGGATGTTCAACCAACCCCTTCCAGTACTCGTGGCTGTGGTTTTGTGAAGGTGGATTCAGACTGTGTAAGCACAAGCGATCCAGCTATGGAGGAGGAGTACCAGATACAGATTGCCTTGGCATTGAGTGCTAATGAGGATCCAGAGGCTGCTCAGATTGAGGCGGTAAAGCAGATCAGTCTGGGTTCTTGTGCCATTCAAAGCACCTCTGCTGAAGTTGTTGCTTATAGATACTGGGTTGGTTACATTTCTTCTAAAGACTTTTAATGACCTTCAATTTACCGTCAGCTTTTTGAGTGGTGATAATTTTTGCTCTCAACTTTAAAATGGTGTGTCTCTTTTATTTTCAATAAACACTGGCTGCATCAGTTGTATTTCTGAAAGAAAACATTCTGAGGTTGGTGGAGAGTTCAGCATCATGCATGCGAATTATCTAATATGAAACTGGTCGCGCATAGAGCTGGAAATCACTTAGAAATTGGCTTACTTATTCAATATTTAGTCTAGTTTCTTAGTCAATATTTTTTTTGAGAGTGGCTCTAGTTTCTTATTCAATATTTACTCTGGTTTCTCATTTAAATATCTGCTCCAGCCTAGGTCTTAATGCTGTGCTTTTCCCTTTTTGTACTAATGGTTCGAGATGCGCCAGCAGCTATGATTTTCTTCGACCACTGTGTTTTTAGAAAAAATGCGGATTTTTTATCAACTCAGGCTCTTATAGTTTTTTTTGTGGTCAATAGTTCCTCATCCTGGTGGTTGTTTCCCCTTATTTTTCTTGTATCAGATAATAATCTCCTTTTTGTTCATTTGAAATTCTCCAAAATATCATAGGAGCTCCTGTGCATCGCAATCAGGTATCCCTTAGTTTTGCCCCAAATACCATAGGGATATGTTACAAGGGATCTGAAGTTTCTTTGTCATCCCTCCAAATTTAGATCTTCGTCATCCCTCTAGGTGACATTACCATTTTAAGCTAAAACAACAATCATAAGTTTGTCAAATACTTGGAGTCTTTTCATCTTCAGCCGGAAAACAAGTTAGAGCTCTAGGGAAACTCTCCCATGTTCAAAGCCTTGTCCCCAAGAGCTCTGCTTCTCATTTCTTATCATCATCTCATTCATGGTACTCCTGGAAGGTGTTGTAGATGACTCTCCTCTCAAACCACCTTCTACTTGTTATTACCTCTTCCAGAGTACACTCCATTGGACAATCAAATTGAACACTCAAATATAATAGAAGTTCCTTGGTCTTTCCCCACTATGGTTCTATTGGAAAGGAGTCATTTCAATGATTATGCACCCTATCACTTGGGTTCCACTTGCTGATTGACAATCCAGCCTTGAGATGCAATTTTTTTTGGAGCTCCACTAGGAGGGAAACTCAATATTAATTAGATTCAATAATGATAAGATGCTTACAGTTGATTATGTTCAATATTCCATTTTTCAAGTTCTTATATACGTATTATGTTACTTCTCCGTGGCTCCTTCAGTTTGGTATTTTTACTGTAGTGGAATTTGGATTGCATTGTGTGGGTCTTGGGACATTGGCTATACTGATAGTTGCTTATGGGTCGGTTACCATCATTGGTAGTGTTCAACCTTTTTGGAGCTGTCCTTTTATGGGCATCTCCATTAGAATTTGGGGAGGGAAGCGGGGATAACTAGGTTTTCATAGGGCAGAGTTATCTTTGTTGAGACTCTAGCGAAGAGCATTTGTTAGATGGTGGCTTGGGAGGTCGGGAGGGATAACTAGGTTTTCATAGTGCGGAGTTATCTTTATTGAGACTCCAAGGAAGCGCATTTGTTGGATGTTGGCTTTCTGGACCCCCATTTCGTCTGAGTTCAAGGGTGTCAAGTCAGTGCACTTGTTGAATGGTTTGAGGAATGTGGTGGTCTCCTGTCCATCCCTACGCCAACTGTGAGATTTAAGGGTCGGTACTAAGTTTCCCAAGCTTAACTTTGACGGTTCTCTAGTAAAAGCTTGGATTTGGCTGGGTAAGCACTTAACTTTTTGATTCATTTGGGAAGCTATTCATGTCTTTTTCTGGTCCTAAGGTACTATGTGATCATGGAAATGGTGAGAGCACTCATTATAGGTATTAAGATCGCTTTGAGTTACTCCTGTTGCAAGTGGTGGGCAGCTGACTTAATATTATTCAATTTGTATAGCAGGAGAAAACAGCCTTGTGATATGCAGCCTATGTTTTGAAGTAAGTCTTTGTGCTTTTGTCAACCCTCTGTTTTCATTCTACCATGTGCCTCACAGTGCCCATGGGGTAGTCTTGGATTGACAAAGGAGAATGTGGGGTGTGATTTTCTTTCCATCTGCTGCTAGTCATTGTTCTTGTATCTTGGGGATACTGATCTTGTTTACTTTCTCATAATTCAATGGTGTCTCTCCAATTTTGAATGGAAATTTCAAGCATTGCCTTTTCCAGCACATACTGCACCCCTTGTCATATGCCTCAAGTTTCCAGTATTCGTGCTAGATCTGCTTTGAAGCTTCCCAAACCTCTAAAGCCTTCCTTACATGCTTCATATGCTTGACACAACCTTAGTATTTGAGTCACCAGAGATGCCTGGGGAGATTTTGCTGGAGTGGGATGATGAATGAGTAAGTAGATGAAAATCTATTGTCATTGCAATATTAGAAGTTTATATAGAAATATTAGTTCTTCTACTACTACCCATGCCACCTAGTCTTTGGTCTAGAATCCTTCTTTTCTTTATTCAGTTATCTAAATAAAGCTTGTCTAACTTTGCTTGTGCTAGTGCGTCCACCTCCACGTTTGCTTCCCTAATCACGTAGGGCAAAGAGTTAGAAACCACTCTTGCTAGCATGAAGATTCCTTAAACGATATTCACTTATACTGTGCCTAAGGCTTCGGCGCTTTCTCCAAAAAGTTTTACGGGACCCATGCACCAAAATCTTGAAAGTGATTGAAGGGATGGAGTCTTTAATCCATCTGTGCCATTTGTCTGATCTATCAATTAGTCCAAGAAGTCCCAACTTATATGCTCATTAGGTTTTTTCATGTCCACCTTATAGCATACCTGGCACCCCTTCTTAATGCCTCGAGAGGCACTCATAGGCAACTAGTTTGACATCTATGATCTGTGTCCCTCAATGAAGGCTCCATGAGATTGGGGCATGGCAAGGGCATTCTCAACCTGGTAGACTTAATCGTGAATGAAAGAAAGTCCACAACTAAGTAATGTTTCTTTCGTACCCATCACCCCAAACTTAGGTTCTATCCCTGATCCAGTTTCATACTCTTGCCCTGTCAAAAGTGAGATCACGGGGGTTCTAAGTTTTGAATGTGACAACGTAAACTCGTGATTGTCACAAGGCTATCCTGTATCGTACGTGCGTGCGCACGGGCTTGTGTGTGCGTGTGTGTGCGCTCATGCATCTGTGCCTGTCCATGTACGTGCTTACTTGCATGTTTTGGTGACATGTACATGGGATATGAACCTCTTAATATAGATCATTTGAAAGGAATCTCTTAATACGGGCCCTCTAAAAGGAGACTGAATATTTTCGCTGTTTTTTTTTTTGAGAAAAAAGATTTAGCTGTTTGTACGGTAACAACTGAAAAATCACATTGTGGGCCTCTGTGATATTGAGTTGTTCATTATCCAAGAATCTACATTTAGCATGTTGGTCTACAAATGCTCTGTTCCTATTGCGGGATTGCATTAAGAAAGTATTCTTCCCGTATTCATATTCAAATATCCCAATATGGAAAGTCATGGAATCGGGCTTGAGTCAATACGGTAGCAGCTGGCTTTTCATAATGCTATGTGTCAAGATCCATTCCTATGGGTAGGGGCCCTCTCCCCACTAGACTAACACAAAAAAAAAAAAGAAAAAGAAAAAGAAAATCATGTATCCTATTTATGTGTTTTTACATGTTTGGAATCACATATATAAGAAATGTTTTAGATTGATAATGACCTGAATAATGGCTACTTGTTTAGAAACATTACATGCTGATATTTTTAAATTGTTGGATTATGAAGAAGGAAGATGTTTATTTTAAATTGTAAATTTAAATCATTTCTGGGGAACTTTAAAATTACACATGTTTGTAGAAGTCAAAATAGGCTGTGTGCTATGGCATAGGGGTCTGCAAATGAATTTACCAAAATATATACTCATGATCGCTTGTGCTAGAAACTGTTAACTGATAATGGATACCATAGCAAAAGATTAATACTCAGTCGAATGTGTATTTTCAAGTTACATTTCCTTACTTCATTAAAGAAATGCATGACATTAAAATAGATCTCAAGTCTAATCTTTTTAGAGTATTATGGAATCTTCTAAAGGGTTCATCCTTGAATTTGTTTTTTCTAAAATTTAAGTTATAGAGGTTAGTTTGAGTAAGTGGTTAGTTTCTTGCGTGGATATCGTATTGCTGTAAAATACTGTTGTTAAAAAATAGATGTCTATAGTTATAGATAAATATGTAAGGTCAATTTGTTTTTTTCAGAAGTACCTCTTTTCTGATTCTTGTTGTCATTTAACCTCATCATTGTGAACCTTCTATGGTTTGCAGAATTACGATGCTCTTGGTTATGATGACAAGATTCTAGATGGATTCTATGATCTGTATGGCATTTTGTCAGTGTCCACATCAGATAAGATGCCTTCTCTTGTCGATCTACAAGAGACGCCAATATCAGACAACATCAGCTGGGAAGCAGTATTGGTTAACCGGGCTGTAGATGATGACCTGGTAAAACTGGAAGAGAGGGCCTTGGTAATGGCTATGGAATCTAGGTCGGTTTCCTTTGGTGTCATAGGAAGTGATTTGGTGAAAAAACTTGCTGTCCTTGTCACTGATTACATGGGCGGATCAGTTAAGGATCCCGAGTGCATGTTGAAGGCATGGAGAGTCCAAAATGATGGCTTAAGAGCTATGGTTGGAAACATGGTCTTGCCTCTTGGTCGCCTGAGGATTGGATTGGCTCGTCATCGTGCATTGCTTTTCAAGGTTAGTAATTTGTGCAAAAATGTGTTCAAGATTTGTGTATTACTTGGTACTTGTTATAGCACCTTTCAGACTCATGGATGTGTTTTCTTAGATCTATTATATTACCTTTTTCAATGTATTTAGAAAGGGCTATTATTATTTCTCTTTGATTTCATGGTTAGATACTGAAACAGGGCATTTTGTATTGTTATTTGACTATGTAATGTTGTTATCTATGTGATAATTTCTATCTTATCTACATTCTTTATTATACATTTGTCAAAAAATGCTTTTAGAAACAAACGTGGCTTGTAGAAATAAAAAATTAATAAGGAGAAAATCCTAATGAGGTGAATAATTGCAAATGGTTAATGACTGAGAACAGTGTGCTTCGTCTTTGGCTTTCAACTGTTTACTGGATTTGAATTGAAGAAAAGATTTTGACACAAAATCTGAATTTGGCATGATAGAAAGTCTGAAGCAGGTGAATCACCTACCAAATTTCGGGATTTGATTAAGCTTCTTTGGTTCTCCCATTCTGTTGACCTCTAGTCGTTATTTATCATTTATGTACTTCAAACATCAACGGATCGTTATAAGGCCTTTTTTTGTTTTTTTTTGTTTTGTTTTTGTTTTTTGAGAGAATTATTATAAAGACTATTTCAAGTGGTCATTAATTCATCCTCCAGGATTGTGTCTCTAACAATTTCTATTTTTGGAAGACCTTCTGCCCCTTTCAGATGACACTCAACCCTGATCCAAGTTCAAGAAAACCCTCCACGTTCTACTCCTTCCTCTTCTGTGTATCTGCAAATACTATTGTCTCTCTTGGCTGACCTTTGGTTAATTCGGTCCACTCTTATTTCGGGTCACTGGTTAACTGGGGTATTTGCTCCAACCACCTCTGTTCTTGGCTTCTACTTTAGCTTCTCTTGTTTGCTCTTACTGAGAGCTAAGGGAAGAAGGCGCTTTGCTTTGACATTATACTCATGGTCACTGATGGTCAGCAGCATGCCATGTTTAAGCTTGCTCTTTGAAAACTGTTGGGTTGCAGGCTTGTAAAATGATATCAAGACCATTACTGATGGAGACTTTCTCTTGGATTTCTAGGTCCTTATTGGAAAATTCTTATGTACTTTAGTGCATTTCTCAGTAAAATGATCTGGTATGCTGTCTGTCTTTGTCACCTTCCTTGCAATTGAACCACTTTATTGGAGTCAAGGGAATGCTTTTAAAGAGTTCTAACATCTTTTTGTGAAGTTATCGTTTTTCTGTTTGCACAATTAATGACTCCACCCATGCTTAACGAACTGGAATGACATGTAAGGCATGCTAATCCTGGTGATAGTCTCTAACCTGAAGACCTTCTTCAGGTTCATTGGTTTTTCTAGTCTGTTGCCTACCGATTTTAGAGAAGAAGTGTGTTGATGTTTTTGTTGCTGGAACAAAAACCTTCCCTATTTTAGGCGTACAACAGTTGATGTGTGAGGCAGATATGTTAACTGATTTATCTTAGAACTTGGAAGCGCCTGGCATGTAATTCTCTGATATTGGTTATGAAGATAGCTGAGGAACGATTCCTTTTGATAATTTCAGGTTTTGGCAGATGGTGTGGGCATTCCATGTCTTTTAGTAAAAGGGCTGCAGTATACAGGGGCAGATGATGGTGCCATGAACATTGTAAAGATAGATCATGAAAGGTAGCTTCTGTACTCTTGGTTTATTTTACCTTACTCATTGGCCTGGGTCTTTTCAGATTTATGATATTTGTTTATTGTCCTTTTTCCTAATACCTGTTCTTTAGGAACATGTTTTGTCTTCCTCCTTGCATGTGTGTGGGTGGGTGGGTGTGCTTGTGGTGTGTTAATTGTGTATCCCACTATTAAGAGCATATGCTTGTGAAGAGGGACTCTGATGCAAATGTGCCCACACACCATGTAGATGTTTGCAAGGAGGATCTTTAGCATGCTTGGGTTCCTCTTTCCAAATATCTACTGTTGTAAGCATATATCTAGCTTATATATTTGAGGTTCTCTTTTCATATATTCCTTTTGTGGAGTCGCTACAGCAAGATAACCATGATCTTGATTGCAATGCATTTTGTCTCAACAGGGAATACATTGTTGATCTTATGGGAGAGCCTGGTACACTTATCCCGGCTGATGCAGTGGGAACACAAAATGAATATGAGGATACTGTTCTTTCTGTTAGCAGCTCATTTCTTAAGGATGTTGAGAACATAAGCTTAGCCCCATCTGCCAGTGCTAGTGTAAGCTCCTGCTGCGGGGCCTCAAAACATGCGCCCAAAGATTGCAGGTCTGGATCTGGGAGTGCCATCCATGAGGAAAGTGAGTCAAGCAATGCAAGAGGCCTGAATAAGTTTGAGGATAAAAAAAACATGATGTCAGTGTCTTCTAACAAGGGATCTCCATCCATGCAGCATGAAAGGGAGAAATCAAAGTTGGATCCTGGGGGGGATTTTCAAAAGCTTTATAATATTGAAGTACCACCTGCTCGAGGGTTCTCTGGCAAGACAAATTATCCATATGTACATGCTAGGTCTCCTTCATGGACTGAGGGTGTTAGTTCTCCCTCCGTCCAGAGAATGAAAGTAAAAGATGTCTCTCAGTACATGATTGATGCTGCAAAAGAGAACCCGGAGTTAGCACAGAAACTACATGATGTATTACTTGAAAGTGGTGTTGTGGCCCCTCCCAACTTGTTCACTGAAATTTCTACTGAGCAGCTTCAAGCTCAGGCAATTGAAGACAAGAAACAAGCTGAAGATCACTTTGAAAAGAAGAAAAGGAAGAATGGGACAAGGTTTATTGGTGGAACCGATGCTGGTGCCCCATGTCGACTTTTGCCTCCAGTTCCTAACCATGGGGTGGCATCAAAAGTATGTCCAGGCTTTGATCATAAGGAGCTCATCAAGCCTGTGGAGGGTTTGGGGCTTCCCCATACATCATCTCCATTTGAAGTGTCATATTTGCCTGCTTCATCTTTACCGGATAATTCTCAAGGAAAGTTCATAAAACATGTGCCAGTTGCTGCTGTTGCTGCTGTTGCCTCTTCAATGGTAGTTGCAGCTTCCAAATCGAGCATTGAATCTAATCTCGAAGTTCCTGTTGCTGCTGCTGCTACTGCTACAGCTGCAGTTGTAGTAGCAACAACTGCAGCCGTCAGTAGGCAATATGAGCATATGGATTCTTTTCAAGCCCTGTTGCCAAATGGTGCTTTGTGTAATAAGCAGATAAATTGTAAAGTTGGAACTCTTGAAGCTGATGGTGGGGTTAAAGAGCCGCAGGGAATTGATCATGGGAAGGATATTGGGGGACATGTTCAGAGGAACCAGGAGGCCTGTGCTGCTCATCATGAGGATGAGAGGACTTCAGACAAGTGTACAGGGAATGAAAGTGTGCGATCTGATCCAGCACTAGATGATGTAGCAGAGTGGGAGATACATTGGGAAGAAATCACATTAGGAGAGCGCATTGGACTTGGTATTGTTATTTGTTCATTTTTTATGCTAGCTTCTGTCTTTGCACCCCTCAAGCTGCTGATACCAATGATATGTGAACAATGACTGAATCTCATGGAAATATATTTTGACATGATGCACTTTGTTATTTAGTTGGGATGCTTTCTGTTGCAGGATCATATGGGGAGGTATATCGTGGGGACTGGCATGGAACGGTGAGTTATTTTTTCTGGGCGTACTTTCTGTTCTTTATTTTTTTCTTGTCTGCAAAGTGCTGTACTTAGGAGATGGACAGATTTAAGGGGAAAGTCCATCTGTTCAAATAACTCCATAACTTAGTCTCTTGGGTTTGAAAACGTTTCTAAGCTGTTTCTTGAATTAGAAAGGTTCCTTGGTTGATTACATCAGAGTTGTTTTCTTCTTTGATAAGCAATGCTCATTTTTAATAAAAGGAATATTGCCAAATAGCTGCCCATCAGTAGTTGGCAACCTTTGTGCCATGCTAAAACAACATTATGAAGAAAGCCGGCTTGGGTGCTGACCCACGTGGAAACCCTGACTTAGTTTCCAACCCCATGTGCAGCCTCCACTTGGTTCACCATTGGCTGCCATCACAGATCAGTTCTTCAAGGGAGTCACTCTAGTTCCAAAGTTCCAACCGTTCCGGTCTAACACTTCTGTTTGGGTTCTTGTTGTCCTCCCTGGTGAATGAAGGCCAGGTTCCATCTTTGTTCTCTCCACCATTACATGTGTTTTCTTCTCCCCAAGAAGGCTATCTAGACATCATCATACATCTGACCTTACATTTTCCTCCAACAACAATCAATCTTTTCCATATATGCTGGACAACTCTTCCACTCGCGATACATAGCTATAGCCTGATTGGAAACAAATTGTATGAGTTTCTGAGATCTCTTCTTTGACCCTGATTCTTAACCATTTTTGTCCCAAGTCCTCCCACATGTACTGCCCAAGTCCAAGTGTTGCTCATGGATATGGGACTTGCATTGCACTCACTTTTTCTTCTGTTTCCTTCTCATTGACATAGTTGGTGGCCAGGGGCCACCACTGATTCTGAAAATCTGTTCCAGCTGCATATATGGTTGCATAGCTTTTGTGTACTCTTAAGCATACGCCCAGATACCTGGGCGGCCCTAAGGGCAAGGGTTGGGGTGGGGGGCATATGATGTTTTGTGTGTGTGTTTTGTGAATGTGTGTATGTGTGTGTGCACATGTATGTGTGCACACGTATGTGTGTGCGTGAGGCCTCACATGAAATTCTTAAAGATCATTCTCTTCCCTCCCCCCCCCACTTTTTCTTTTGGATCCATATTTGTGAGAGAGAGGTCTCGAACACTTGGAGGATGAGGATGTTGTTCTTTTTCTTCTTCTAATATGTCGTGTGAGAGAAAGAGAGACCTCGCATCGAATGCTTGGAGGTCTTCTTCTTCTTACATGTAAAGAGCATATGGATTCATTGTATCTTTGTGTGTGTGTGTGTGTGAGAGAGAGGCTGCGCATTGAGCACTTTGAGGCCATCTTCTTCTTCTTCTCATATATATATATATATATATATATATATATAGAGAGAGAGAGAGAGAGAGAGAGAGAGAGAGAGAGAGAGAGAGAGAGAGACGTACTAGTAGTAGTTAGTTAGTTTAGTTAGTTAGTTAGTTTAGTTTTATTTTTACGTTTTTACGTTTTACGGTTTTACGGGTTACGGTTACGGTACGG